GTTTTGAGTGTTGTATGGTATTTCACCCAAATTATTATCACACATTTGCTTAGGATGGACTGTGAAAAATGAAGAAAAGCGAAATACGGTATTGAAGGAATGCATTTTGTTTGGGGAGTTCGCCCTCTGGTTACAGTTTTTCTCTATTGCTACAACACAAAACCGAGTACTCTAAACCAAATGATCAATTGCCTAAACACATTTATTAAAACTTCCCCCCACTTCTCACAACCATAAACACAATTCTCCTGTAGACACTGTTCACAAAACACATGCCCTTTTTCTCAAAACTTTAAACACATTTTTCTTTTGCTAAAGCACATTTTTCCTTTGCTAAAACACTTTTTGCATGTATCTCTGCTCCTATAATCATTGTGAGGCTCATGTGATGAAAAATGTCTCCCACTGTCAGCAAAACCTGAACACAATGAAACAGTCATTCAGTAAACACAACCACTCAGAGCTGAAAACTCCTGTTGCAAATGATGTGACCACAACTTTATAAGTCAGTGCAGTTTGATGAAGGTTCAAAACGAAAATGGATGATCAAGGCAGAAGAAGAGGAGTTCGTGTCAGTGGAGTGAGAGGAGCAGGCCGAGGAGAGAGAGGAGCAGGTCAAAGAGGGAGAGGAGCAGGTCAAAGAGGGAGAGGAGCAGGCCAAGAAGGGAGAGGAGCAGGTCTAGGGGGAGAGGAGCAGGTCAAGGAGGGACAGGAGGAGGTCAAGGAGGGAGAGGAGCAGACCAAGGAGGGAGAGGAACAGGTCAAAGAGAGGAGCAGACCAAGGAGGGAGAGGAGCAACATGTATTATGAATGCACGGGAAATGTAGGTACCCCAGCTTTAATTTAGTGAGTTGTAGTTTCAGGGCGACAGGTGGAGACATGGGGGACACTTCCAGAGGCTCACATAATTCAGCTGTGTTTCTCTCACAGCGGTGGATTTATCGCGTCCACAGGTTGCGCAAAGATCCGCACTTGTCCTGTCCGCGCTGGTCACATGGGAATCAGTCCCCTGCAGCACCAGAGCATGTGGAATCCAGTCCCACGTACATAAAAAAACAATAAAGCCTAGTGTATACTTGCGCGGCGTGGCTTACGTTAGCGGTTGCGGTGGACCTACGTAAGCACAATTGATGTTATACTGCCGCGTTCCCCTTAAGCCTAGTTTATACTCGCGCGGAGCTTACGGAGGTGACGTGACGTCACTTGAGCAACGCGTTGGTCACCGCAAGGCCCTTACATCGCCTGCCGCGCAGCATCAAAATTTTCTAACTACGTAAGGGTCGCCGCAAGGAATCTCCGCTGTGATTGGTCTGTGTGGGTGTATTGGAAGGAAGCATGAAGCGGCTGCAGCAGGGACAATGGACGAGGCACTATGGAGCAGAGAGCTTTGTGCTTCGAAGGAAAAGCAGTTTGGGCTCAGAGCCTGATATACAGGAGACTGTGGACTATCTAACATATATATAACTTATAAACTGTGCAGTCATTTGTTTTGCACTGTTCCTGTCTTGTTTGAATCGTAGCTGCATTTGCTGCTTTCCTCCTGCACTCGTAAATCGTTCATGTTTGTCTCAGATATTTACCACTATTATTGTTTTGCTGTTTGTGCTGAAAACTACTTAATAATAACTATGTTTCCAACAAGAACTGTGTCTTTATTCACAGCATCACAGTTGAAATGACTTATAAACAGTGTTGTGCCAGTTCACAACTTTTCTGAACTAGTTCAAGTTCAGTTCATACATGCTCAAAGTGAACAGTTCACGTTCGAAGTTCTCAATTTTCATTCTGAACTAGTTCAAAGTTTATTTTATTTTTTATTTTATTTTATTTATTTGGGTGTTAAAGGAGGTACAATGCATATTAATGAACATTTAACAAATGTAAATATGCCAGATTATAGCCTTAGGCTAATTTCCATCTGCAGACCTCCTGGCAGGTTGATGTTAACAAAGAACATAAAAACAAACAAGATGTAACAATACAAATCATGCAAAAAAATACAGTGTACACAAGACTATATACAGGACATGTACAAGGACAGCTGAACACGTACAGACATGTGAGACAGTAAACAACAATTGACAGAAAGACTTGAGACATTGTAAAGTTCAGTTCATTTTACTTTTTGCGAGAGATATTCAAATAAATACTTTTTTTCACTACGAGCTAGAAATCACTATACGTGGTATATACATATAAATATAAATAAATATGTATATATATGTTATATATTATTATATCCTGTACACTGCACAGGATGTTTTGACTCCAATGCAGACAAGATTTACATGGGTTTCAATGGGAACTGAGTTGTCCCATCTCTGCTCATAAGTACAAACTGTAATGCGCTGCAGAACGTGTGTCTATACTTTATGTCAAATGTAAACGGCCCTGTGTCACTGACTTACCCTGTGTTTTCATCACGGCACATGTGAGTCCAACAACCAATGAATAGCACTAGCATATTGAGAATGAGGAGTCACGTGCCGAGTTGGGGTGATTTGGGGGGGGCTCTGAGCCTGTCGGACCGCAAGTACACTGAGTCGGGGTGCGTTCACAGACGGTGGAAACCGTAGGAATTTTTAGTTTTCGGCGGAAACAGTGCGGAGAATACAGGAGGGAGGAACTTTCTCTCGTTGCATTTCAAAAGAGAAAACAGATTTCACTCAGTTTTCAATGGAAAACAATTGTCTGCCGTTCATGACACATAATATGAACTAATTCACGTTCAAGTTCTTTATTAAAAAATGTGTTGCGTTCAGTTCAACGTTCACGAAAAAATGAGCGTGTTCAATGAACACGTTCTTTTGAACTCGTTCACGCACAACACTGCTTATAAAATAATGAATCCATAAAACTATCACATAAACCTACAGTAGAAACACGTGTAATGAGCTCAAACAGCTTTGTTTGCTATTGTTGTTCTGAAGAGGACAAAGTAGCAGCGTAAATGGGACCGCTCCTGTGTGATCGCCCTCATGTGGTTTGTTGTGGGATTACAACATTCTCCTCAAAACTCCGTAAGAGGAACGCGCCAGTATAACATCAATTGTGCTTACGTAGGTCCACCGCAACCGCTAACGTAAGCCACGCCGCGCAAGTATACACTAGGCTACTACTCATACCCGTATAATAAGAGATCCATGCTCATACCCCTTTAAGAAACGTGGAGTGGGCGTGTCGTGTAGTAGGCGTGTCGTGTAGTGGCGTCACTAAATGACACGCCTACTACAAGACACGCCTCCGTACTGCAGAGGCAGACAGATACACTTGCGAAATTCTGCTGCGAGGCTTTTGACCCGCACCCACAGGAGAACCCACATTACTCCTATCTTGAAGTCTTTACACTGGCTCCCTGTCTCACACAGAATAAATTTTAAAATTCTGGTGCTGACATTCAGGGCACTTCATGGTCAGGCGCCTGAATACATCCAGGGCCTGATCCACCCCTATGTCTCAAACAGGAGTCATGAGGTCCTCCACTCAGTTGATGGTCCCCCGCACTCGTTTTAAAACCAGAGGAGACAGATCGTTCCAGGCAGTTGCTCCTCGCCTCTGGAATGAGCTTCCCCAGTCTCTCCGCATCTTAGAGACTGTTGATGATTTTAAGTCCCATACCCATAATCGCTATACCCGTTTCTGCAAGGTTTGAATGTTTAGCACCGCCCCCCAACTCGCTCAATGGCTTCTCATTTCCCCTACGCTCTCATAACACAGAGCCACCTAGCTCAATTTGCGATCTGACATGTATGCTAACATTAGCATTAGCACAACTTCTTGTAAGCTGTACAACAATCACTGAAGAAATGGTACTAAAGCAACGCACTGCTAACACAATATATAGGTAAAAGAATACTGCTAGTTTCGCATCCAAATGTATTCATTAAAAGATTAGAATATATTCGAGTATTTAATTATATTTTTTTATTATACAGCTCCTCACAGCAGCTGTAGAACACTCCATTGACTTGAATGTAATTCTACTGTAACCCACTTTGGAATTAACATGAACGACTAGGTTCTTAAAGAGCTCAAATGTAAAGTGTTGGAACTATAGCCACAATGAAAGACAGACAATAGTTAAATGTAAATTGATTTAGTTAATTATGTCAAGAATTGTTACCACAAATACAATGTCATGTAAAATAAAATACAAAATAAATAGGCGCCTTTAAAATAACCCAAAAATAAATCCTTAAAGTCTGTGGGTGAACTTTTGTTCAAGGTGGTCAGCTGACACGGTCCTACCAGCCGATAGCTCATGCGGTCTGCAATGGGATCATCCAGTTTTGGCTCAGGTGGGGTGGCTCGCCATCTAGTGGTCTTCTTCAAAGATGTTTCCAAATCTCATTAAAAAGACCTGACCTGTATTAAAAAGACAGGCTAATAAATTTCTTGCTCCAGTCATGACAATTAATCTAATTCTAATTCAAAGGTACAACATATTTCTCATGTACAGTACATAGCAACAAAAAAAGATATTTTCTGTATGCAAACATTTTCTAATTATTCATATACATAAACCATTAATAGGATTATTTCAACCCTTTATACAATAAACAATAGCATTTTAGTCACAGACAACATTTCTCACCGATTCACGCGCGTATGAGCCGGGACACAGTGACGTCACGGCTCTGGATGTGAGCGCTCGCGCAGATAACTGCCTCTGTCATTAATATGGACCGGTTAGAACATTGAGACAAACAGCCAACACATCCTCAATCAAGCAATTCTTTACCAATCCTCTCTCGTTCCTTTACGGAACGGTGTCGGAATCTGTGCTCAGCTTGTCTTTCTCTCTTTTTTCTGCTCTAAAACAGTGAGGAGGTCCGTTAGTGTAGCGGCCGTTGGTCATTTGCGGACGTTAAAGTTGCGGTGGTCACTACAAAGTAACTCTTACCGATCAGTCAACTTTAACTCCAGGCCAGCAACAGGACTCTTCTTTTGGCTTGGATTGATGTCATTTTTCCTCTGATTTGCGCTTTTGAATTGTTGAAATGATGGAGCTGAGCTTTGCGTGTGTCTCGCTGCGTGTGTCTCGTTGCTTGACTCCGGTCAGAGAGGGGAAGCGGGGTCGCGTGCACCGTGGATCTGAACGTAACGTTTTGGCTGTTGCTACGCAACTTATATGCTGCACTACAGTGCATTGTGTTGGCACATATACAAATAAATAAATAAACAAAGTACACATTTTCATTTAGTACTTAAATATGTTAGCCATTCCTTTGTGGTTTACATTTAAATTAGGAATTTGGTTTTACACCTGGGTTACACTACCAATCATTTTTTCTTGATAACAGAACTCTCAAATCAATAATGACCGCTGCCCTTTGACAATGCAATCTCTGTTTGTAATTCATGTGTGTAAAATACTGCCATTACTTTGCAAGTACAACGAGAGAAGCTAGCGGAGCTAGCCACGCTCAATAAACAACTAGCTTTACATATCAATCAATCAACACCATTAAATGTTAATCGGACAATACAGTATACATCTACATCCTTAACACACATGCACAGACTTTTTCAGAATTTCTTGTTATCGTTTTCATGACCAAATTACTATTTTAATGTGACAAAAAGCGATCGCGAAAAACCCGGAAGTATCCATTAACATGTAGTTCCAGGGAGCTAGCTAGCTTAGCTGTTACCTGCCTAGCACGTCCCGGTGGAACCTTTGGGAGCTAACTATTTTATTTGCAGTTATTGAATACATTTCGAATTGTATGGGCTGTCTAATATGTGTTAGAATATATATATATATATATTTTTTTTTTTTTTTTATTTTAGAATTATATTCGAATTTCGAAGCCCTAGTTTTTAGCAGCGCTGTAGAGGCTAGAGGACGCAGGCTGTTCGCTGCTCGTTCTGTGAGCGGAGAAAGAGCGGCCCGCTCGCTCTACTCAGCACTTTTCACCGCTTGTAATTCTTACACAGCTGAATCAATTACCTCAAGTTTTCAATTAAATTACGGATTATAATACAACTTGTATGTAGTAATAAGCATTTCAATCAACTACTTAGAAAAAAAATCGGGTATAGCTTCTTTAATTGTGGAATTATGAAAACCCAAAGAGGAGGATTTTGTAACAGACTTTTTAAAATGTGATGTTTCATGTAAATAATCCATATAAAACACAAAGCATGCTGTGTTTTATTTTAAGGGAGAAAACCTCACGGATTAAATGTTAATGCTAGAGAGGAATCAGACTGATAGATCTGGTTTTAATTGAGTATATAATTTTGTAAATCCCACACTGCCTCCTGTTAAAGACTATTTACATTTACTGTTCATATACGATGATAGATTTGGCCCTCGTTTGTGCAAAGTAAAGTAGTAAAGTCATTTGTTTTTTGCCTAAATGTGATAATGTGCATTTACTGATGACAGGGGGACATCTGTGAACATGGAGCTGGAAACAGAAGACCCGTGGACGTGATCTTATGGACCAGATTTCAGGTTATTTAAAGTTCTTACTTTCTTTACTCAAACAGACTGATACTGATGATGTCAACGTTAACGGCTTAAGTGTTCAATTAGAAATATAAGTACTTCAATACAAGCTATGAATTTTTTTTTCTCACTGATCCTGTGGTTAAAAAACACAAGATGGGATTGGATAAAAAAACTCATACATCACTTTTCATGACACACAAAGATGCTTACCCTTCAGACACAAAGGAATTAATCATAATTTTTATTTTTTTCCAGGTTGTGATGACCACACTGTAGAAAAGACAGGCAGACTTCCAGGCACCTGCTGCTGCTACTGCTATTTTTACTGCTGCTGCTACTACTACTGCTACTACTACTGCTGTTGCTACTGTTACTACCACTGCTGGTGTTACTGCTGCTGCTGTATATGTCTTCAGAACATACAAAAAGTGTTCTAACTATCCATTACTTATAATAAACAAATGAAAATATTGGTTGTTTGTTGTAGTTTATTGTAATTCACAGAAGCTGGAAGTGATGGAGATGGATGAATGATGATCTCTGGAAGACGGATGCGTCTGGAAAAGAAATTCACACACAAATAAATTAAAACAGAAGATTAGCCTTTTGCTACATTCAGACATGTGTTCCATATGTTCATATACATGTACTGTCCCAGTCAAATTAATAAATACAAATACACAGTAGTAGAGTAGAAACAGACGCCCTGAAGAGGAGCAGAAGTAGAATGTCTTAACAAACACACATATGAACACTATTCAATCATTTAATATTTTATATAAACAGTAAATGTAAATAGTCTTTAACAGGAGGCAGAGTGGGATTTACAAAATGATATACTCAATTAAAACCAGATCTATCGGTCTGATTCCTCTCTGTAGCATTAACATTTAATCCGTGAGGTTTTCTCCCTTAAGATAAAACACAGCATGCTTTGTGTTTTATATGGATGGACTGAAAACAGCGCTAGTTTAGCTCGGGACAAACTGCGTTAAACCACAGCAGACAAGGTTATAGCTATTCCACGTCCGTGTTCATCTCTTTAAAACTTTAAACACACAATAAATGCTATACGTATAATACAAGTACATCAATAACATTATTGACTAACCACCAGTGACCCGTGTTTGTAGTGATAGCTTAATGCAGTATGAGATGTTAGCATTTTCACGGCATAACATTGGCTGGTTTGCATTGTAATTGGCAGCTTATCATCAACAATATATCACGGTTTACAACATTTACATATATACGATTAAACACTCACATTAATTATAGCTCATGTCGCGCTCCTCTTCCAGCTCGTCTCTCCGTGCCTCCGCCATTTTTTTCCCGTCTATAGATCCATGTGCTCACTACATTTTCGAGATGCATTGTAGGAAAATTCTAGAGCACTACTTTTTCACTCTGGACATTCGGACACCTCTACAAAATGGCGTGACCACTATATAGTGCACTATATAGGGTATAGTGTGGACATTCGGACACAGTCTGTCTTTGAGCAGGGACACGTGTTTACGGAGTCTCTAATAAGTACAAATGTGCTTTTACTTTGAACTTTCCGCATTTTACTGTGAAAAGTTAACCCGGAAGTGACTGTGAGACTGCGGAAGTAACGGTCTTTGTTTTGAACGTCGCAGATTCAACTCTTACCGTGTTTTTAACGGAACAAACTGAAGCTCAGCAACCGCAGTGAGTCACAATCTATGGTCCACAGTCTATGGTCCACGGTGGGGTTCTTCAACCTTTTTCGATTCGAGAGCTACTTTGATAAAACGGAAAAGGCACCGAGCTACTCTTTTAGGACTCGTATAAATAGCGTTACAATTGTAGTCTATATAATAACTACAGAAAATCATGGAGAAGACGGATGCATCATATACTAGTACAGTACTGTAAACGTGTATAGTTTGAATAGATTGAAAAGTGAATCATTCAGGATCATTTATTCAATTCTTGGTTCCTTTGGGGAGCTACCTGAAAGAATTTGGTGAGCCACAGGTTGGAAACCCCTGGTCCACAGTCTATGGTCCACACACTGTAAATTTAGTCTGGTCTCAGGTGTCATGGCGGCCGCAGCAGATGTAGAGGAGGACGCATCTCAGCTCACGTTCCCCAAAGGTGTGTGTTGATATTGTGTGTCCAGAGTTTGTGAGTGCAGACACCGCACATGTTGCTTTAGCACCGTGTGTGTTTATGTTGTGTGTCTCTGTGTGTATCCAGAGTTCGAGAGTGCAGAGACCCTGCTGAACTCTGAGGTGCACATGTTGCTTGAGCACCGGAAGCAGCAGAATGAGAGCGCGGAGGACGAGCAGGAGCTGAGCGAGGTGTTCATGAAGACACTGAACTACACGGCACGATTCAGCCGCTTCAAGAACCGAGAGACCATCACCGCTGTGAGGAGGTGAGAGAGTACTGCTGTGAGGAGGAGAGTACCTCTGTATGAGGAGGATACAGTACCCCTGTGTGTGAGGAGTTCCCCCATGAAGAGAGTACCCCTGTGAGGAGGAGAAAGCACCTTCTCCTGCTCCTAACCTCCCTCTTGTGTCTGTTACAGTTTACTGCTGCAGAAGAAACTTCATAAATTTGAATTGTCGAGTTTAGCAAATCTGTGTCCAGAGGCAGCAGAGGAGGCCAAGGCCCTGATACCCAGGTACTACTGCTACTGCTACTACTACTAGTGGTACTACTGCATGGATCCATTATAATGTCTGGATAGAGTAAAACAAGCTTAGAGCTGAAGGACCCATGTGCACTGGGAATTCTCGCTGTACTGAAGACTAAACAAGACTAAATTCTTGTGGGCTACTGTTAATGCTGTTTTAATCACAGTTCTTCCTGACAAAAACACTTACACAAAAGACATCGTTCCTTCATTCTTATTCAGACCGTAAACGCTGAAGCCCCGCTCACCATTCTCTAGTTTTCAGACGCACGGGTCTTCACACCAGAACGTCTTGACCAGCGCCGGAAGTAGCCGGCCGGCTATGATGCTAACTGAGTACTGCACTCTTTGCTCACAGACATTCCACGGGCTTTATATAACAGTAGTATGTGTTCACGGAGGTGCGCCATACGTTTTTTGTATTATTAAACGGTATTTCCGCATCGGCGAACACACTCGAAGCAGTTTCATAAAGTCACGGGAGCATGACAACGCATATATTCACAAGCACACAGTCCCCCATTGTCAACCCTGGTTTAGTCCTGGTTTAGGTTCTGATGTAGGTCCTGTTTTGGCTGTTTACAGTATGTTCAGTCTGCTCGCTCAGACCACCAATGTCCCCGTGACCACTTTGCAGTTCTCTGATTGCTCAACCTTTCCTTTCGTGCAGCGACCAAAGTTTAACTCCTGTGGGCGTCCATTTTCCGCTCCTGCTCCTCCCCTTTGACTTTCCCGCCAAGTCCGTGCGTCTCTACTGAGCGGTCAGTGCGTGTGCCGACAGAGCACCACCAGCTCAGCCTCGTCCAGAACATGTCTGCCCTCAGTCAGGCTGATACTACAAGACACACCTTCATATGCAGATACTGTAGAACAGGAAGAACCAACACAACAGAAGGCACTCCATATTAGTATATACAAAGCCTGCTTCCTACGAGCAGTGAATTACAATACAGCCATTTTAGCATACAGTATATAATTTAACAATTTTCTACCCCTTAATCGATTTTTTGGGTCGGGGGGGGGGTGGCACAGGTGAACTCACCCAAGTCACATAGCACCAACCCCTTACTGATCCTCTGCAGGTGGTGAGTCCACAGGAGAATGGCTGCTCTGTCTGTGAGAGCATAGCCATGATCTTTCAGCAGGAGCTTCAGGCAGGGTTAAGTGTCCTGCCCAAGTACACAACGACAGCAGAAATCAGTGGGAGTCAGTGGAGAAGGTCTCATGGTGGGCTCTAACCCACGACCTTCAGGAATTTCCCCCATAGAACTCAATATAAACTAAAAAAGCTCAAGCTCAGCTGGGATTTCAGTGTCCCTTCTCATCCTGAACTTTTTTCTTAAATCCTTTCTTTAATTCCACACTTTAGTGCCACAAACTCTGCTCGTTTGTCTCCCGCTCTGATCAGCAGCTATGATCAGCAGCTCTGGTTAAAGCGCGGCCGAAAACATAGTCTTCATGTAAACGAAAGGCCACTGTTGCAGTGTAAACACTGTTCCTGATGATTCTTTTGTCCTCAGTCTGGAGGGTCGCTTTGAGGACGAGGAGCTGCAGCAGATTCTGGACGACATCCAGACCAAGAGGAGCTTCCAGTACTGAGACCAGGACCAGACCTCAGAATTCTACAAAGATCCAAGGAAGGAGAATACTTTTACTGAATCCAGCTGTAGTTCAGGTCTAGTCCAGGTCAAAACCCTAGAGTCTGTTTGTGATGAGATTGTTTTTGTCCAATGTGTTTTTGATAAAAAGTCTTTTACAAAAGAGTTTCCTCAGGACTGATCTGTGGCAGGGTTACTCAGTCTGCCCCTCCCCCTCAAGTGCAGTCCTTTCATTTATTAAATTTAAAAAAGTCATGAAACATTTCAGTAAAACAGAAACTATACAAAACTGAAAGCTTCACACACAAGAGGTCTGAGGCTCTGCTTCCTTTAAGTCCTGCTCCAGACCAGGTCGGTCTTCATCTGATCCCGCGGTGCGCAGCAACAGCTCGTAGTTCAACAGTTGTCTCCAGAATCCTGCGTTTATGTGAATGAACGGACGCCTCTCCTGAACCAAGACATGAGCCTGAACCAGAGACAGGGACAAGAACCTGAGGGAAACAACAATCATGTGATGAGGCTCCTGCTCAGATGTTTGGGTGAGGGTCCCCCTCTCTCTGTTAGGTCTCTCTCGTTCTCTGTTAGGTCGGTCTTTGTCTCAGTCTCTCTCTGACCTCATGACGTAGGCAATGACCAGAGCAGGAGATCGGCTCCTCCCGGACACACAGTGCAGTAGACAGGCCTGCCCCTGGGTGATGCTGTGGTGGATCCTCTCTGACACTAAGGCAAAATACTGGTCCAGGGGCGCGTGAGGGACGTCCTGCACCGGGACATGGACCACCTCCAGCCCAGGGATCTGACAGAAGGAACAAGTCAACTTTCATCTGGATACAACACTCTTGAGCCAGAAAGATCCCTGTGAGTCACTATCTGCCTCTTTGGGTTGAGAGCTGATTGGCTGGCTGAGAGAGGGTGGTTCTATCTTTGACCTAAAGACGTGACATCACAAATACATGTGAAACTTGTGACAAGCAACGATTTTAGAGCCAGAACCAGAGACATGGGTTTAATACAGAGTTCTATTGGTCTAAAAGTTACAGACCCCAGCTTTAAAGTTACACACATTTAAGTCTATATTTGTGTGTTTAACTGGGGGTGGGTCCCGACTCAAAAAGGTCCATGAGCATGTGCGCTGACATGCTTGCAATCTCATTCCGTAAAGAGAATTACCCAATACTTTTGTATGGCGTCTTATCTCTTGAAAACTGCTTTACAGGTTGGTCCGAAACGTTCCAGATGCCGTCCATGCTGAGGGTATTTTTTTGGACCAGTCTAGTTTAGCCGCAGTGGACTTTTGAATACACTCGTTAAATGAATGGGGCTTGTGCAGCTAACTAATGCGCTAATACTAATACTAAGGCAAAAGTTATGGCACATTAGTTTCGACAGCGGAGATAGTCGTGAATAGATCTGATAATATTTACAGTCTATGGTCTGATGTCAAAAATTCCCTTTGACTGACGTGTTCGAGTTGATGCAGAAGTATGACAAAAGATCTCCAAGTTTTAACATCTGTATTTTAATTTCCTTACAATCAGATACAGAAATTCCAACAAAGAGAGCTCCTAAAACTAATCCATGTCCCTCTCTGGCCCTGTGCTGACTGTCCCCCAGAACTCAAGCCAACAGTTTTATCAGGACGTCCGATGACGTCACTTGTGGGCGTCTCCCGAATGTTCATTTCGGGTGTGCTGGCGTCCCGTGTCCACTGGGAGGCGTCAGAATGCTGTTGGTGAATTCCCTTTCCGCCTGATTGTGAGGGACTTTGTACTCGTCAGCAGATAATGTTTATTATCTAACGTTAATAATTCGCCTTGTTCAAAGGCGATATCTTTTTATGATTCCCGTCCGCCTACCTGTGGGTAGGTGACTCCCTGGATGTTGCTGGCGTTGACGATGAGCTTGATGTTCCTCGACCTCAGAACAGCTTCGTTCAGAGCAGAATTCAGATCAGAGACAAACAGGAGCAAGGTGATCTGAGAGACGGCCATCAGCAGCTCTAGCTCTGAGGCCGATCAGCCTCCTGTGACACAAACACAGCAGACACAGGATTAACACATGTGACATGCTTCTACAGCCACTGGGTCTACTGCTGCAGCGGCTGAGGGCAAGACACAAATACATTGAACTGAACATGGATTCAATTGTTGTGGTCTGGAAGTTACATACCGCAGCTTTAAATCCCACTTGACTGGGGGAGTTCTATTTATAAAGTTCATTAAAATCACGTGTACGTAGCGCACTCAAACTGCTGTGGCTCAACAGAAGACTGCGGGAAACACGTGTTTGTTTGTGTGTGCGTATTCGTGTACTCACCTCGTGAGCAGCAACAGCTAAACTATGACGTAATTTATACTTGAACAACATCCGGGAAGTGGACTCCTACGTGACACCGCGTTTCACTCACTCGCGGGCAATACGAAACTTAGATCTTTTCTCTAATGTTTAAAAAGAGGTTTCCGTTGCTATGGAGACTGGTGTCTATTTTGTGACAACAGACTGAGATTTGAGGAAATGTTTGTTATAGACTTATACGCGGAAAAATTGATCTAAGGAGAACCATATGGATGCAAACATTGAACATATTCCTTCAGTCTAGTGTAGTACTTTAGTCTGAGGGGGTTCATGTTTATCCGTTGTTTCCGCTGAAGCAGAGCTCCTCCTGGTGGTGGACTGTAGTACTGTAGCTTCACCACCACACATACGGACGTGTGGATTTGTCTGTCAGGATGCATGTGGTTCTCATGTACAGTCTGACACTGTAGTGGATGGAGATGACAAAAAACTAGTTTTCTAAATCGTGTGTCAGAAGTATCAATTTGTAAAAATTCTATGTCAGAAGTGGGATTCGAACCCACGCCTCCAGAGGAGACTGCGACCTGAACGCAGCGCCTTAGACCGCTCGGCCATCCTGACTAAAGAGATACTCTGTTAGATAATACAATATGACTCTACGGGGTCTGCAGAGTCTCTGAGTACTCTGAAAACCGCGTTTCCACCACCGTGGTGAAGTTGGTTGGATATTGGATATTCGGCAGATATTCAGAGCGGGGAAGCGATGAGTTCGTCAGCCGGCCTGAGAGCAGCAAGGAGCGGACATGTACTCGCACGAGTCTTCGCCTATATTTAGGGACCGTCAACATTTTACCCTATGCTAATTTTTCACTATTATGAAAGTGGATGTCAAAAAAAGAGCGTAATGGCTAAATAATACAATAAATTCATAAATACTTTAAAAACATGAACATTGATGATTATAGCCTTGAACAAAAGCCGATTAATTGTAATGTAAACATTTTAAATCACTTTGATCATTATAGTTACAGTAAAATAGGAATTTATTCAACAGCTTTTGAGGAATTTGACCCAGTGACCCCAAAACACTTCTAAATAATACTGCTACCTCTGGGCCATTGGGCTCAGGCCTTTAAATCATGTTTAAAAGCTTTTAAAATTATACTTTGGTTAAAACTACCAGTTTTTCTTCAATAACTTTTACGGCATTTGACCCATTTACTCCAAACCACTTTTAAATAATACTACTACCTGAGGGCTATGGGGCTCAGGCCTTGTAATTGTTTTTAAAAGCTTTAAAACATATTTTTTTGTTAAAAATTTCAGTTTTTCTTCAATAGCTTTTAGGGCATTTGACCCATTTACTCCAAACCCCTTTTAAATAATAGTACTAAATGAGGGCTATTGGGCTCAGGCCTTGAAATGGTTTTTAAAAGCTTTAAAAAATTTAAAATTATTTCTTTGGTTAAAAATACCTGTTTTTCTTCAATAGCTTTTAGGGCATTTGACCCATTTGCTCCAAACCACTTTTAAATAATAGTACTAAATGAGGGCTATGGGGCTCAGCCCTTGAAATTGTTCTTAAAAGCATTTAAAAGTTTAAAATGATTTTTTTGGTTAAAATACCAGTTTTTCTTCAATAGCTTTTAGGGCATTTGACCCATTTGCTCCAAACTAGTTTTAAATAATATTACTACCTGAGGGCTATGGGGCTCAGCCCTTGAAATTGTTCTTAAAAGCTTTTTAAATTATACTTTGGTTAAAAATACCAGTTTTTCTTCAATAGCTTTTAGGGCATTTGACCCATTTGCTCCAAACTACTTTTAAATAATAGTACTAAATGAGGGCTATGGGGCTCAGCCCTTGAAATTGTTCTTAAAAGCATTTAACATTTTAAAATGATTTTTTTGGTTAAAAATACCTGTTTTTCTTCAATAGCTTTTAGGGCATTTGACCCATTTACTCCAAACCACTTTTAAATAATAGTACTACCTGAGGGCTATGGGGCTCAGCCCTTGAAATTGTTCTTAAAAGCTTTTTAAATTATACTTTGGTTAAAAATACCAGTTTTTCTTCAATAGCTTTTAGGGCATTTGACCCATTTGCTCCAAACTACTTTTAAATAATAGTACTAAATGAGGGCTATGGGGCTCAGCCCTTGAAATTGTTCTTAAAAGCATTTAACATTTTAAAATGATTTTTTTGGTTAAAAATACCAGTTTTTCTTCAATAGCTTTTAGGGCATTTGACCCATTTACTCCAAACCACTTTTAAATAATAGTACTACCTGAGGGCTATGGGGCTCAGCCCTTGAAATTGTTCTTAAAAGCTTTTTAAATTATACTTTGGTTAAAAATACCAGTTTTTCTTCAATAGCTTTTAGGGCATTTGACCCATTTGCTCCAAACTACTTTTAAATAATAGTACTAAATGACAGCTATGGGGCTCAGCCCTTTAAATTGTTCTTAAAAGCATTTAACATTTTAAAATGATTTTTTTGGTTAAAAATACCAGTTTTTCTTCAATAGCTTTTAGGGCATTTGACCCATTTACTCCAAACTACTTTTAAATAATACTACTACCTGAGGGCTATGGGGCTCAGCCCTTTAAATTGTTCTTAAAAGCATTTAACATTTTAAAATGATTTTTTGGGTTAAAAATACCAGTTTTTCTTCAATAGCTTTTAGGGCATTTGACCCATTTACTCCAAACTACTTTTAAATAATAGTACTACCTGAGGGCTATGGGGTTCAGCCCTTGAAATTGTTTTTAAAAGTTTTTTAAATTATACTTTGGTTAAAAATACCAGTTTTCTTCAATAGCTTTTAGGGCATTTGACCCATTTACTCCAAACTACTTTTAAATAATAGTACTAAATGAGGGTTATGGGGCTCAGCCATTGAAATTGTTCTTAAAAGCATTTAAAAATTTAAAATAATTTTTTTGGTTAAAAATACCAGTTTTTCTTCAATAGCTTTTAGGGCATTTGACCCATTTACTCCAAACTACTTTTAAATAATAGTACTAAATGAGGGCTATGGGGCTCAGCCCTTGAAATTGTTCTTAAAAGCTTTTTAAATTATACTTTGGTTAAAAATACCAGTTTTTCTTCAATAGCTTTTAGGGCATTTGACCCATTTGCTCCAAACTACTTTTAAATAATAGTACTAAATGACGGCTATGGGGCTCAGCCCTTTAAATTGTTCTTAAAAGCATTTAACATTTTAAAATGATTTTTTTGGTTAAAAATACCAGTTTTTCTTCAATAGCTTTTAGGGCATTTGACCCATTTACTCCAAACTACTTTTAAATAATACTACTACCTGAGGGCTATGGGGCTCAGCCCTTGAAATTGTTCTTAAAAGTTTTTTAAATTATACTTTGGTTAAAAATACCAGTTTTTCTTCAATAGCTTTTAGGGCATTTGACCCATTTACTCCAAACCACTTTTAAATAATAGTACTACCTGAGGGCTATGGGGCTCAGCCCTTGAAATTGTTCTTAAAAGCTTTTTAAATTTTAAAATGATTTTTTTGGTTAAAAATACCAGTTTTTCTTCAATAGCTTTTAGGGCATTTGACCCATTTACTCCAAACCACTTTTAAATAATAGTACTACCTGAGGGCTATGGGGCTCAGCCCTTGAAATTGTTCTTAAAAGCTTTTTAAATTATACTTTGGTTAAAAATACCAGTTTTTCTTCAATAGCTTTTAGGGAATTTGACCCATTTGCTCCAAACTACTTTTAAATAATAGTACTAAATGACAGCTATGGGGCTCAGCCCTTTAAATTGTTCTTAAAAGCATTTAACATTTTAAAATGATTTTTTTGGTTAAAAATACCAGTTTTTCTTCAATAGCTTTTAGGGCATTTGACCCATTTACTCCAAACTACTTTTAAATAATACTACTACCTGAGGGCTATGGGGCTCAGCCCTTTAAATTGTTCTTAAAAGCATTTAACATTTTAAAATGATTTTTTTGGTTAAAAATACCAGTTTTTCTTCAATAGCTTTTAGGGCATTTGACCCATTTACTCCAAACTACTTTTAAATAATAGTACTACCTGAGGGCTATGGGGTTCAGCCCTTGAAATTGTTTTTAAAAGTTTTTTAAATTATACTTTGGTTAAAAATACCAGTTTTCTTCAATAGCTTTTAGGGCATTTGACCCATTTACTCCAAACTACTTTTAAATAATAGTACTAAATGAGGGTTATGGGGCTCAGCCATTGAAATTGTTCTTAAAAGCATTTAAAAATTTAAAATTATTTTTTTGGTTAAAAATACCAGTTTTTCTTCAATAGCTTTTAGGGCATTTGACCCATTTACTCCAAACTACTTTTAAATAATAGTACTAAATGAGGGCTATGGGGCTCAGCCCTTGAAATTGTTCTTAAAAGCTTTTTAAAATATACTTTGGTTAAAAATACCAGTTTTTCTTCAATAGCTTTTAGGGCATTTGACCCATTTGCTCCAAACTACTTTTAAATAATAGTACTAAATGACGGCTATGGGGCTCAGCCCTTTAAATTGTTCTTAAAAGCATTTAACATTTTAAAATGATTTTTTTGGTTAAAAATACCAGTTTTTCTTCAATAGCTTTTAGGGCATTTGACCCATTTACTCCAAACTACTTTTAAATAATACTACTACCTGAGGGCTATGGGGCTCAGCCCTTGAAATTGTTCTTAAAAG